ACGTACATCCAAAACGCCTCCTCCGCCTCCCACCCCGCCCGCCCCAAGGCCGCCCACCGAACTGGTCGTACACAGCAACAGGGTTGCCAAATTGGTCGTGAATATCGATGCTGTACGCAGTCCGGGACCCAAAGCTCGGCCTGCCGGCGGCGTCGTAGTTCAGGCCAATCCGCACCAGCTTCTGCTTAGTCACGCTCCTTACTGTGTTGTCTACGAACCAGAATGCGTCCTGGTAGTACACTGCGTTGGCAGGCTGGCTGCCAGTGAGGCCGAGCTGTGCTGCCGTGGCGGTGGACGTCACCCTGCCCACCCGGTCTGAAAGCAGAGCAGGTCGTGTGGTGTTTTACGCAAGGGGTTTGCGCGTGTGTTTGTGTGCGTGCGTGTGTGCATGTGTGCGTGCATGTGCGTACATGTGCGTGCGTGTCTGCATTGGCATGCGTACATGCTTGGTGTTTGTTTGTGTTGTTTTTGAAAGTTTGTTTGGAAGTGTGTATAGGGAAGATGGCTTTTGGGTGGCTGGGGTGGGAAGCGCACTCAAGGGCTGCTGACTGTGTCACAAGACAATGTTGAAGCAGGATGCAGCGCGTGGGACGCTACAGCTGTGCCATGCAGTGATGTCTGCACGCCTGCCCGCCTCACGCATGGGCAGGTCGACATGCAATCAATCCCCTCCCTGCCACGCCAGCTCTTAAGCAAGACCCCTTATTCTGCAGCCGTAACATCTGACTGAGCTGAGTGGCCGCCGCTCACCCCAGAACTGCAGCTGCTTGTCCGCCGACAGGAAGAAAAACTGGTCACGGGCGGTGTCGTAGGCAAAGCCGTTGGCTAGGCCGGACGGGATGTCGGGCCTCGCGTCGTGCACGGCATTCACTATCTGGGATGAGCTCGGAGTGCAGCGGGCAGGTGGGTTATTGAGAGTGTGAACATTGGGAAGGCGGTGTCATGCAAGGCAGATCATGGCAGGCGACCTGTTGGGCGGGATGACACCGCAATGCTTCTACTCGTATCAACACATATACACACACAAGCAGCGCGCGCCCGTATGCTCACCCGATCGGTGACGTCAACCTCGTAGATCTTCTGGTTGTCGGCAATGCCATACATGTACGTCGCCCCGATGGGGCACGGCGCACATGTCCCCATCATGCACACGTCGGTGCCGCTGCAGACGGCGTTGCACTGGCCGCAGTCGTTCTCGTCGGTCAGCAGGTCGACGCAGCCGCCGTTGCAGCAGGTGAGTGAAGGCTTGCAGACCAGGCCGGTGGCCAGGTTGCAGACTTTGGGGGTTGTTGGTGAGGGGAGTAGAGGTTTGCAGGCCGGGGCATGGGTGGGTGGGTGGGATGAGCATTGGTATGTGCGTGGGGCTGCCAAGCAACGGGGTGCACGCCTGCCTCCATCGCCAACCTCTTGGCGTCGTCGGGGCGGGCGCATGCAAGGAACGACAGGAGCAATGCATGACGCGAGTGATCTCGGAGGCGGAGGGAGTGAAGCATGTCGGCATTGTGGCCAAGCAACAGACCAGAAGGGTGTGGCCCAAGCAATGAAGAAGCCGTGCTCACTTTTCTCCTCGCACAATTCACCAGTGAACCCCACCGCTTTGCTGCAGTCGCAGGTGTTGGGGGCGCTGCACACGCCCCCATTCAAACAGGGCTTTGAGCACACTGGGGTATAGACAGTCGTGGAGAGGGGGTTTGGTGGTGTTGCTGCTGCTTGTAGGCCTGGGATGCTTGTGCAATATTTCCTGCTGAGCATCCAAGCCTCAAGCACACGCATACGTAGACCAACCAATCAAAGAGCTCGGCGATTGATCGTCGCTGCAACAGCAGGGCGAGGCGCCCGTCAATGGCCCGGCTGCTGGCGGAAGGCAGCAGGATGTTGAAAGGAGCAGGTTTGGGGCGGATACCCAAAGGAGTTGAGCCTACAGGCACCCACACACCAGGTATCTCGCACACAGTGCCGTTGTACCCGGTGTCTGTGCAGTCGCAGGTGTCCGGCGTGACGCAGGTGCCGTTGTGCTGGCAGGGTGACGTGCAGACTGCGGCACAGCCAACCGCGTGCAAGTAGGGCAGGATTTCAGGCAAAGGGAAAGTTGGCGCAGCTCCGCGCACTTGGATAAAATTCTTAGGCCCAATTCCCCCCCTTCTTCCCTCATATATTGTTTTGCGAGTCACGTGCGTGGTGACTAGTCTGAATCCAACGTCGCAGTCAACGCGACTGGCAGCAGCAGCAGTAGCAGCAGCAGCAGCAGAAGTCAGTAGCATCAGCAGCAACAACAGCAGCAGAATAAGCAGAGGCACCTGGATCAGCAAGCAACGAGCGCACGACTCAGCACCAGGGCGCCTCACCAGGGTTCTCGCAGATCGGCCCCTCATAGCCAGTCCCGGTGCAATCACAGGAGTTTGTGCCGTTGCAGACGCCATCGTTTTCGCAAGGGACCTTGCAGACTGACGCCGGAGGCTTTGGTGGTTGGGGGACTGCGCGTGGATCGAGTTGTGGAGGGCATTGGGGGGTCCTCAAGCAGGGTGGATTTTGGCCGCAGCCATCGTCGCTCGGGCGGGTGGATACCCAAGGCATTGACTCGTGTGCCCGCTTCTGAACGGCACGGCGCCACGGCCATGCACAAGCGCAGCACTCGTGCGTCCACTCACTGATTGGGACCTCGCAGGTGGGTCCAGTGAAGTTGGTACGGGAGCAGTCGCATGTGTTGGGGCTGGTGCACTTCCCGCCGTGCTGACACCTTGGCCGGCATGCTGCGTGGTGAGAACGCCAGGGTGACAGCGTGACCCGCAAGGTGACGATGTGCCATACGTTGGGCAGGCAAAAGGGGTGAACAGCACCTGGCACCAGCCTAGGTGCAATAGCAGGGGCACTTGGGTTGCAGCAGCCACGTGCTGACGCAATAAAATGACTAGCTAACAACCCGCCGCAAACAACATGCCGCCAACTGCGCAGCGAACAAAACGCGAAGCAGCGGCCCCTACGCGCGCAGACTGGCGCTGGTGTGGGCGTCGCAGCTCACCAGGCGTTTCGCAGGTCGAGCCCCTGTAGCCAGTCCCCGCGCAGTTGCACGTGTTTGGGGCCACGCACGCAGCGCCGTTGGCACAGGGCAGCGTGCATACTGCGAGGGTTCAAGGGCGACAGCAAAGGCCACAAGGGTTGAAAATGCAAGGCCAAAGCTCTGCAGGTGCCACGGCAGGTTGGATCCCAACAAAACTGCTTCGGCTTATGCATCATTGATTGCACTGGCAAGCACCCGACACAACTGTGCAGCCGCCAAGGTCGCTTAATGAATAGTATCTGTTGTCAGGTGTAGGACCGCCTTTGCGACGCACTATGACAACTCTCTGGTGTCATTGCTTGTCGTTATTGTCACTACTCACCAGGGGTCTGGCAAGTGGGTCCAGCGTAGCTGCTGGTACAGTTGCAGGTGTTTGGAGCTATGCAAATGCCATTGTTTGCGCACGGGGTTGTGCAGACTGCGCGAGAAGGGCAAGGGTCATCATAGTGCGAGGGCTTTGGTAACATGTAAAGGATTGCGGCATGAATCACCTGATCATCAGCCAGCAATGGTTTATCAACCCGTGTGATCGGCTCGAGCTCAATTCACAAACATTCCATGGCGGGCCTCACTGGGTTTCTTGCAGGTTGGTCCCGTGTAGCCTGTGCCCGTGCAATCGCACTCGCCCTCCGAGACACAGACACCACCATTTTTGCAGGGATCATCGCATGCTGCGGTGGGCGGTGTGAAATGGTAGGAATGCTTGATGAGTCCAAGGTTGTGGCTGGGACAGTGCAAAGCAGTTGGGTGTGCAAGGTAGATGCGGCCAAGCCCCTGCAGCCCTGTTGCGGGGATAGCCTTACATGGAGCTGCCGTGCCATTGCAGCGTGCTCCTGTCGTGACGAAGGTAGCGCCGGTGATGTCGCAGGTGTTTGAGGCTGTGCAAGTGCCGCTCTTGCATGGGGGGGAGCAGACTGGGGAGTATGCGCGTAGGGGGGGCCGCAGCAGTAAGGACGTCAGTTGCATCTGGAGGGGGTGCAGTAACAACCTTGGTTTTCGACAGCAGCCCAGCATGTGCTGTAATTCTGCCAATATCGCTGATTTTTGCTGCTGCACTTGCTGCTCCCACAACTTTGCGGCTCTTGCCGCTGCCGCTGCCGCTGCCACTGCCACTGCCGCTGCCGCTGCCGCACCAACCAGCCGGCCAGCCTCTGAAGCAAGAAGTCCACTACTACGAGCGTGGTGCGCTGGGCCTTGGTCCCATCCGTGTGCACCCCTGCCCACCGGCACCCCCTCACCGTACTCCACATTTGTTTCCATTTTGCAAGCGCCTCCCCTGTTGCCCTGTTTGAAGGGCGTGGTGACCAGGGTGGCCTGGCAGCCGGTGGGCCCGCAGATGGTGGCCAGAGAGTTGCAGGGGCTGGCCGTGCCAACTGCGGCAGCGTAGCGCCGGTGGGGGGTGCGGAGGGGGGGGCGCCGAGCGGCAGGTGGGCAGGTGTGCATGCTGGGGTGAGGTGAGAGGGGGACACATGACGCGTCGTGCCCGCAGCCCACAGGAGGCTCAGCAATCCTGCCCCATCAGCAGCCGCTCATCAGCGGCGGCTGTCCCTGCCCATGCAGCCACACGCGCGGCCCCCGCTGCAACCCAGCGCTCCCCGCCCCAGTCGTCAACCCAACCCTCCAGTGCCTCACCAGGGACATCCACACACAGGGTGGCGGTGTCCCACCACTTGCGGCGGATCAGCAGGGCCGGCGTCCTCGTGTTGTATATGGGAGTGATTGTGACTCCATTGAAGGACCACCTGAATTGTTTGAACGCCGCGAGGTTGGCTCTTGACAGGCACTCGCTCCCTGGGGGTTGGCGCGGCGGGGGGGGGGGGCGAGCTGTGTGTGTGTGTGTGTGTGTGTGTGTGTGTGTGTGCGCGTGTGCGCGTGCGTGCGTGCGTGCG